GAATGGGTGTGTAACATTTCACGAACTAGTGCACCACTTGGTCTGATATGTTCTAGCCATTGGATCGCACTGTTTCATGATCGACGGTCCAGATTAAACTATGAAGTGTGGTGTTCATTCATCATGCCTATTCACCAGCCATGCAGATGCCACGTGTACGTCCAACTGAACCAACTGCCACGCAAGATTAAGTGACTTGTGTGCCACCTATTCTGCCAACTCATCGAACCATGAGTCCATTTCTGAAAACTTTAAGGCTCCACAGCTCCTTGCGACGATACGTATGTGCGAAGTGCGCCTCTAAAGCGCCCATGCGAACTTTGCGACGTGCGCGGGCCGAGGCCTAGATCGGGACGGGGCGAGGCGCGAGTGGTGCGAAGCACTACTCTAGTGGTGGCTAGTTAGCTAGCCTTTGGCTAGCCAAAGTTAACTAAGTTATAGACCACTTATTAAATTATAACTTGTACACACATCCCACTATATAAACAAGTCTTTTTTCTTGTAAACTTTCGATGTGGGATTACTTACCATATATAAGACACTTAAAATTGGGTTTATTAACTTATGGGCCTATATTGGAGACTTTTCTAATTCACCCAAATTAATTACAATGGCCTATATAATTAAATATCACATTTAATTATTTAACACTTTATTAATTAATTCCAACGAATCAAACCGCTCACATGCCTAATTTTGGACATGCTTTTCTATAGGCCCTGTTTGGAAGAGATTAAATTTTTCTACAATAAATCAATTCTCATTTTCAACCACACATTCTTCAATAAAATAATATTTTCCATCACATCAATAATTTTTTCTTCTTTTTCAACCACATATTTTCCATCATATCACTATTCAAAATCAATTCTCTCCCCAAAAATCTCTCCCAAACAAGCTCATATTTCATCTTCAAAGAGTAAAAAAAGTGACATAGTCACTTAAGATTATCAATAGTTATAGTGTTACATGCTCAAGAAAATTTTATACTAATTTTTTTTCCAGTTCTACCGTACATTTTGAACTTACGTTTAGATTTTCGCACGAAGATTTAAATCTTACAATAAATATGGTTTTAGAGGCCAACCCGACGATTAACCTTTGGATTTTTGATAAAAAATACGTCCATCACAATATATCGGGACTACTCCAAGCTATGGTTTTCGCTGCCTTATAAGAGAGAGATGGAACCTGGTGCACTTGCTCCTCAAGGGAGTTTTTGACTTCACTTTGTCTCATTGTTCTATTCTGGAAATTAACAAGAATGATCTTGAGCAAGAAATTAACAAGAGTGATATTATTAATTCAGATGTTATTCAAAAATCATTTTCTTAGGAGTGATCAGAAGAGATGTTGAATATCAAAGCCTAAAATTCTCCAACAAAAGAGATTATTGAATCATGTCTTTGGAGTGATCAGAAGAGATGTTGAATATCGATGCCTCAACTCTCAAGTTCATTAAAGGTTTTGGGCTCGACTTTTATGGTGACATTGACATTAGGACAACATCAATCAGAATCCCCCTTCATTATTTTTCTCAAAATTCGAAAAATGACTTCTTTTGAGGGAGATATTACCACCTTCTTGTTATACTTGTATCTGTATCTTCTTTAAGAATAAGTTAAGAAATAAGCAAATTCCCAACATTATCACAAATCAGGACGACAGAGAAGTTCATCAACGATCACATTCACTTGTGAATTTTAAACAGCTTTAACCAGATCCGATACTGAACAACAGGTTGAAGGACACTGTAGGCGTTGGGATTGTTCCACAGTTCCACTCCAACGATTCCCACCATTCTTTCTCTTCTTCACGTAACTCGATTTCTTTAAGAGATGAAGGAGATGGCTGTCCATTCAGAAGCGGCAGATACGAGAACCCCTTCTTTAATTTTCCTTTACCACAAGTTTTCTCGATGGAATCACAAATCATCGTCGCCATGCAGATACGAGAACCCCTTCTTTAATTTTCCTTTACCACAAGTTTTCTCGATGGAATCACAAATCATCGTCGCCATGCAGATGCTCTTTATTTTTATTTTTTTCCAGATATACAGAACATTAGTTTAGACTTTTGAGGAAGATTTAAATCTTTATAATAAATATGGTTTTCTTGACGCAACCCTATGATGAACTTTTAGAATTTTTGATAAGAATAAGGTCAATCACAATAAGAATTTTGTATATTATGATGCTTTGAGATTTTACTCAACTTTATCTCAGTGTTTTATTTTGGTAAGAAGATGCATTCCTAGTTTATATAACTAAGAGTGCCTCGAATGCATTATGTGGATTTCTACCTAAGTGGCACGAAAGTTGAGACTTCCCATCTAGTTGTCATTAATGTCTATTAAACAGACAGTCAAGTTCAAAATTGATCTCTAATTTATTCTAAGTGTTTTTTATAGTCCTAAAATGAAAACAAAATCATCTAGTACGGATATGAAATATATATTTACGGAAAGAAAATATTAATTTTGAGAAACGCAAAATTCGACCCTACTACACCTAGAGGGGAGATTATGTGTAAATGCGGAATTAAAATTTAATTAATATGCAACAAGTCACAAGTTAATTATGTTTAGGTGATTAGTCAAACAATTCAATTTTATCCTATCTTGAAATACCATAGTAATCCCAAAGCAGTAAACAATACCAGAATTGTTCACGGAGAAATCCAATGTAGGAAAAACTCCAGGCACTTTGCCGTCAAAGATCAACTATAAACTATCAATAAAACTTACATACTAGCAGGAAAGTAGACAGCACAAGTTTTTCTGATCTCATGTCTGAAGTATGGAGCAGTCCTCCTGAAATGTGCACACCAACACCAATCTTGGCTCTTCTTTGTAAAGCAGTCATCCTGGAATGAGCACACGAACTCCAATCCCAACTCTTTACGCAGTTTATATCCTGTAGATCTTCCCTAAGAACTCCTCATTCTTCAAATTCTTCCTTGATCTTTAATACAGCACAGTTGACGACACAATCTTGCAGCAGATCCAAGCAAAGAAACCAATTTAGTGTTTGATTTGATTGTTTTGATGTTTTCAATGAAAAAGGCTCATGAACATGAATGATTGAACTTTGGATCTTGTGTAGGATGTATTCTTCTTGAATAATGTGTTGTTTAATCCGTCTCTCAGAGAATACGGCGCCTTCAATATATAGGTTTGACGAAATAGGTTGTATGGACCAACTAAAAATCTCAGAAAATGAAAATTAGGTTTTCTAGTTAAATACGTCGCTCGAACGAAGTGGCTTTCTCACTCAAGCGATAGTGGGGCGAAAATCGAGCGAAGTAGGTTCTGCTTCAGTCGCTCGAGCAACACTCCGGCAAACAGGTAGCGAAAATCCAGTCTGAATTCTTTGCGAGGAACTTTCTGCTTTAGTCGTTCGAACAACACTCCAACGAGCAGCTAGCGAAAATCAGGCGTGAATTCTTCTTGTTCCAAAATCATAACCCCAAACCCTAATCCTAATCTACCAACTATGAAACCTTACAATTTATTCCCTAAACTTTTATAACTGTTCAAGTGGTCAATTTGTTTACAGAATCGCCAATACAAAATATAAACCTAACAAATTTTACTCCATAACACTATCTAACAGAGCTTCTAAAATTAGAACCCAACTAGGAAATTTTTAGGGATGACAAAAAAACTCGACAAACCAGCGGGCCCTACCCCGAACGAGGCGGGGAAAACCCCCCTTAAACGGGTAACGGGGAAGGGACGGGTAACGGGGGCCACGCCCCGCCCCGCCTCGCCTCCCCTCGCCCAGCCCAGCCCAGTTAAAATTTTATCATTATTATTATTATTATTATTATTATTTTTAGAATTCAATATTTAAATGAATATTTTCATTCGTTTTAATAGAAAATAACAACTAAAATTATTTGTCTAAATCTAATGAATATGGGCAATAAAAATAAATTATAAAAAAAAAAAATTCAAACGGGGAATAAACGGGGAAAGGACCCCGCCCCGCTCCGTTGCCATCCCTAGAAATTTTTTTGAATAGCATTAGTCAGTATATAAACGAAATGAATCATGTAGACTTTACATATTTAGGACATGTTCGGTAGAGATTAAAATTGAAAAACTAGCTGTTGACTTTTATTAGACAAGTAAGATCCAATAACGGCTATATTTTCAATTTTAATTGGATTTTAATTTTTACCAAACGAGCACTTAATAACGTAATATACTATAGTTTCAAGTGTTGTCAGTGAGGTAGCTGTTAGTGAAATGCTTCCCTCTATATGCAAGTTCTTTCTTTTTGCAATGGTAACTGGTAATATTTGTTTAAAAGAGGGAATGCTAAGGAACCGAATTTTTTGCATTGAAGCGAGTTATTCACGGCAAGTGTGGCTTGCAACTAATTGATAAGCTACGCGATAAATGAAATGTGAAGTATCTTCACCATTGAACTTGGAGGTGATGCTATACATCATTTGGGTTCTGAAACTTTTTTCTTTCTTTCATGTTATGTGGATAGAATGAAAAATGAACAGAAAACATCAAACTTAGTATTCACACAAAATATATTATAGTTTGTTCATTCATTTTTACGCAGTAGATCAAATTATCAATACATAAATGCAAACTTTACGCGTTGGCTTATTTCGAGCTGTATCACACCAATATCAACAATCTTTAGGGGTTGAATACTTGAATCCACCAAGAAAAGGAAGGAAAAACTATTGACAAACAAACCAAAGAACTTAAAAGGGGAAAGAAAAGAAAATCAATGTCGATTTGGATGCATATTTTCAGTTCAATAAACTAGAAGGGATGAACTGACAAAAGCTCCAATGAAGCCAATAACATGAGTTGAGCAAATTGCAGAAGCACCATTTGGGGGAGGAGGTGGAGATTCCTGAGAAGGAGCCAAAGCAGGGTTTTCCTCCATGGGTGGTGGAGAAGGGAACTCTTCACCGGCAGGTGTTGGAGAAGGGGGCACCTCTGCTAAGGGAGGAGGAGGGGACGTTGTTTGGTGAGAATTTGAATAATGGTTGCTTCTATCTGCCATCACAACCACTAACAGTTTTTCATTTTTCTGGCAGTTATCTGCTACTCCGCTTATGAAGTAATAGGGCCCTGATTGATTAAACTTGAAAACGGTGTGACCATCAGAGAATTTTTCGAGGGGTGCATCCGTGTTGCAATTTGTGTAATCATCCTTTGTTACGTGTAGCACAGAGTCTTTGTCAGCCGGATAAACAAACACTGCAAAACAGCAAAAGCTTGATGAAGTCACTCTTATCTTTTTTAGTGTCGTCTACAAGTAACACGCACCTTGTTCGGTAAAATAATTCAAGAAAATAAATGAAGAGTGCTTCTTACATAGGGTATCCCCAATCTGAAACCTGTTCGTCTCTGCCCACTTATTGAAGCTGGTTGCATTAGGATCACTAGGAACTGCCCAATCGCCTTTTGGACCTCCTACCTTGAATTCATAAGCATTACCTTTCTGAATCAGTAACAGAACACCAAATAGCCCCAGCACATAAAAGACTTTTCTACTTAATTCTAGAAGAGTTTCAGCCATTGGAAAGATATGAACACCAGGACTCGAAAAGGAGACTTCTGCCAAAAATCTAGATGTCAGATTTGAATGGGTGAACACAAGTTACACAATAGTTCAAGATCAGGGTATTTGTAGATGAATTTGCATCTTTCTTTACAAATTGTGTCAGTTAAGCTTTTGCCTCCTTTTGTTATTCTCTTCTTGGATTCCTTGTCTTCCAGTCCAAAGCATATGGCCACTTTTTCAACAGGATCTGTGCTGTTTTTGAACTCTTTCAAGGCCTTTCTAGTATATTACTCTTGGAGTTTATACTTTGCTTCATCATTATCAAGAATTTTCATTGCTTTTACTTTGGGCAATGGCATCTTAGAACATCAGGAGAATATTGGAAGTGTTATACAACACTGGTATTAATTCCAGGATCTTACTTTGATCTCTTGATTCCCCCATACGATTTGAAATCTTCTCTTGACATGCACAAATGGTAGAGATAGAGTGAGTATTAAGCCATATATTAACAAAAATATTTAAGTGTAATACTGCCATTTGAGAATAATCCACTTTCTTAAATTTTTAGATGGGTGTTCATCTATACTGAAGTAGATTAAAGTTAGAAATGTATATCTTGTTCCTACATATGTATAGAAATTTTACAGCGTTTAGACTTGAAAATGTACAAATCAGGATAAATCATAGTAGACCTTTAAAAGTGTAGATATAAATAGAGAACTCTTTAAAGACGGATAGTAAGATTTGAGTAATATAAATTTTTGCTCTTGATTGAATGCAGAAGACTCAATGCAGGGGAATGGTGGAGAGAAAGACCTTTCATTGTTGAGGCTGTGTGCACCAAGAAAACACTCTAGTGCTGATAAAGGCAAAAGAGCGTTCGGGAGCAACAAGTAGAGTTTGATGAACGGTTTAATGCGAAACCCCTAGAAATCAAATATATACATTAGTCAAAAATCTTGATTTACTCCAAAACCAAATACCTGGTTTGATCCTTAAATAAGCACCTATTTTCTAAGTTCTAGTAATGAAGAATGTTCAGGTCCAACTAAAGTTCTTGAATCCAGATAGAATTCTGCAGAAAATTGACAATAGTATTATGTGATAAAAGAACCTAAACTTTTGACTCTTGAAGATGAGAGCAAATAAACTCTCATTAAAACATCCAAAGTTAATTTCTAATAATAGCTAAAATTAATATAATTATTCATAGAAATAATCACAAATTCCTATACTTCTCAAACTTGTTACAATCCCTTCATCTGCTCGTCAGATAAGAACCAGTCTTCGATAATCTTTTGTTGCATTCCCTGCTTTTTTGTTATCCTATCAAGCACATCAATTCCAGTCTATTTTCTAGGACAGAGAAAGGAGATCTGATAACAAAATATCTTTGTACTTTATAGAACCTTAAAAGGATTAATTTTCATTTCTCAAATCTCATATCCTGTAAGATTAAGAAAATTCTGAAATTATGTTCTCAGTTTAAGCGACCCGATAACAGCAGAAAAGTAGCAGCAGAAAGAAAAATTGCTGGCAGCACACCACTGGGGGATAGGGTGGCACCACTTCTTATGGGAAGTTTATTTGGAAGAGCACACTCTTCACCATTGAAGAACACTTTTGAAGGGAATCCATCACCTTGTGCCACTTTTATATGGGGGGTGTCTTTTTTCAAGAATGAAATAACAGATTGCTGTTTTCCAGGAACTCTGGGATCTCTATCCGGGTGTGTCCCATTTACCTCTCCTACCAGGTAATTCAAACCTGGTAAGCCTTCCATGAAGATGGTGTTATTAGGCAGAGTCAGTTTGGTTCCGTTGAAAGAGTAAACTTTCTCGTATCCCGGAAATGCCTTCTTAAACTGGAATGCAGTGAACCAATCAACAAACGGAATTTCATCCCAGTTAAAGAGTGTGATTCTTGCAGTCCATCCAGTTTTGTAATCAGTGTCAAGATGCCAGTTGATGCTCACCCCACAATTGTCAGGGCACGGCAGTTTTGCTGGCAGTTTGTGGTGTTTCAGATGAGCCCAGGCTACTGCTTTCTTCGTCCTATTAGCAAAAGGCACAAGAAGAGCATCTGGAGGCAAAGGCAATGGCGCTGCATTTTGATTGCATCGAGCGTCATCATCACAGCCGCATGCGCAGGTGTTGCAGGGTACTACAGAATCAGCATAATAAGCCGAGAAAGAAACGCAGCATTTTGCCTGCTTCGGCTTGGGATGTGTTATATTGCAAGAAACTTGCCAACTTGCAACTGCAGAAGTCGTTGCATCGAGTCCACTAGGATCTGGAAATTCTGTTGGATCAACCCTAGAAGGAGGGCCACATTTGTAAGTTGGATTCACTACACCTTCAATTTTCCAATTCTGGGGTGGATAAAGTGCAGTCCTGTTCATATCAGGTGGAAGCTTGAAAACTTCTAACTGAAAAATAGCTCTCGCCTTGGTTCCATTCATAGTATTTGGCAAAAGGGTGCCATTCTTACAGCAGTAGGGCAATTTCCCAACCTTGTCATCATTTTCTCTATCAGGAGGTAGGTCAGAGATAATCGGCTTTTTCTGGCAATTCATCACAGTTGAGAAATCGAAATCCTGATAGTATTGTCCCTGTGCACCGTAAATGCAATCTGAAGGGTCTTTTCTGTGAGTGTAAGCTCCCTTCATGTTGTTAATGAATTCATTTCTCATCCACTCCCAAGTTAAGTTCCATTGATCAAGACGACCAAGTGGATGATTGTTGTCAATGGTGACCTGTGCCATGTATTTGTTTTCGAATGCCTGAAGAATGTCATATGTGAAGGAGAGATCACCGTATTGGCGAGGCATGAACTTGGTTTTGATCTTCTTAGCCTTGAATTTTGGATCCCTTTTACAGCAGACATGCATGTAGCTTCCTGCAAAATAGTGGAAAATAACACTAATTTTTCTTCAATTGTGTTGTAACATCTTAAACTTTCAAATCAACGATTATTCAATAACCAACCCACACTTTCAAGTCGAACTTGATATACCTCTAATACAAAATTGTCTTGAAGAAATACTATGAATGCATCGCATGAAATCTGAAACATAGATAATAGAAGATACCTCGACGCATGGCTCCAGGACATTTATATCCATCATTGACAAGCTTTATTGTCTTAGGCATCGGAGTGGCCGAAGGCTTCACCCCGAAAAGTGTTCCTTTAATATTGACCTGCACCATCATCTGAGTATAATCCCCGGCAGTGTCAATGGCAGTTTCCAGATCCGACTGTGGAAATCCCGCGAAGAGGGTCCCATTCTTTCCAACCTTAATCGGAAATCCATCTCCATCTCCGTTCACAACCACCGCCCCATCAGCCGAAACCAACAACTCATCATGTTGAAAACCAATGAAAATCTTCCACGATTTCAGCTCATAAGCCCCGGCATTCAATACCGTCGCCATTGCTTTAAACGACCACGCCTGTGCGGACGTGTTCTTCACCAATGGATAAATTTTCTCTCGCCCCATAAAATTGTATGTGACAAAAATGCCATCACATTTTCCTTGCTCAGGTGGCGGTGCCGCCGGGGTATCGGGGGAGTCATAATCTTGAGCCTTAGTTATCTCAATGCTACAAGAAAACACAACAAGAGCAATGCAAGAAAGTACTCTCCAGGGTATTCCTATACATGTGCTTCTTATCAACATTTTAGAATTAATACTAAGTAAATGTGAAGAACAAAGAGGAAAAGGAAGAAGAAGAAAAGATTATTTGAGAAAGTTCAGGATATTCACCAGCCAACGCCCCGTGAGATCACACGGTGCAGGAGGCGACATACTCGAAAAGAAAACTTTGTTTGAGACAGTTAAAATGGGGTTATAAGAGTCGCAGAAATTTGTAAGACTCGTTCAGCCACATTCTCTTCCTCTAGTTTTACCTATTGTTGCGGAAAACACATAGATTCAATTAGGAAAACCAAATATATTCAAAAGCAATTTTGCTTTTGAACTTTCAAAAGTCCCGTCAAACCGCTCCGAAATTTGATGATTAGTTTCATAAAATAACTTATAATTCTTTTCAATTTGATCGCACCGATATAAAATGGGCATTTTGTAACAACATTATTCGTGTCGAGAATTCTTTTGTTTCGGTTATAAACTTGGTACAGATTAACCGCCAATAGTGGTAGAGAAAGCAAAGAAGGTTCCGAATAAAAAAGATGTCTACATATTTTTCGAGTTCAAATAACTCAAAGAGATGCTTCATAATTCAAAAGCAAAGAAGGTTCCGAATAAAAAAGATGTCTACATATTTTTCGAGTTCAAATAATTTAAAGAGATGCTTCATAATTTAAGTTCGATAGCATCCTAGCGCACGTGTGCGTGGAGAGTGGTGTTGGTGTTGATGCGGGAGTATTAAAAATGATGACTATTAGAATTTTATCTTCTTCTCTAATTTCATTTCGCAACACAATTTTCCGGACTGTTCGTCAAACGAGACTATGGATGACAAAATAATGAAGAATTGGAAATAAAATGTTAGAAAAATAAAGAGTGGGGATTAAAATATAAAAGAAAGTAAAGATTGTGGACGGAAACTGAAATTTTCCTTTATAAAATGGCTCAACTGAAAATACCACTTTTACTTATAACCAAGGGAAAACAAAAATAATAATTATAATGCTCATGGTATACAAACGAGTTATATAAGAATTTATATACAAAAGATGAATCATAAAGAAAGTGGGGAGTTTTTTTTTTTAAATTTAACTAAAGAAATTTGGTTCAATTATATTTCACTGCATGTGTGTACATAAACTATTATATAAGCTATTATTTACATGTAGCACAACTGGAAAAAAAAATGATTGTGATACATGTACATAATGATTCACATATACATGATATGATGAAATATGATTGTAGCATAATTTCTTCAACAAAACCTTTTCCACCCTTTTTTTACATGTAAACTGTTAAGTTTATTCAAAAAATGGATAATTATAATAATGGTACCAAACATTTCATTTAACAGTAGAC